CCCCCCCCCCCCCCCATATCTCTATAGATATATTTTAATTTAAAAAAATACATTCTGCCTGGAATCCCTCCACTGATCATGCTCAGAACTCTGCTCATCTGCAAGCTCCAAAAAACACCTGGGACCCTCAACTGGTTCAAGTTTCGCTGAGTGGCGAGACCCCAACTCTCTCTCTCTCCCTCACTCTGATTCCAGAAACCTGACTTTTACTCTCTTGCTCCAGGCACAGCTTTCTAAACCTGACTTTTGCTTTCTTACTCCAGAAACAGCTTTCTAAACTGGGCTTTTGCTAATCAAACTTGAGCTAGACTTCCCTAAATACCTAATTGAAACTATGTAACATTGTAACAGTTTTATTGGTCTCTCTTGTAGGGCTATTACTACTGGTGTCATCATAAGTTCATATACTTGGCAATAAATAACTTTTATGGTCAAGCTGGTTGCTATACTCTCTCTCTGAAACTCACTCTTCCTTCCCCTTGACTTCCCCATTTGCCCTGCAGCAATGCTTCTTTTACCTAAGCCAAAGATCCCTATAATGCCCAATACTACAGTGGGGTCTGCTCATCAACGGAGTTACTACTAGGACAGGGGTGGGCAAAATGTGGCCTGCTAGGCCATTCTATCCAGCCCGCAGGGCCCCTACAAATTTTAGAAAATTAATATTTATCTGCCCCTGGCTGCCTGTCATGTGGCCTTCAATGGCTTGCCAAAACTCAGTAAGTGGCCCTCCACGCGAAATAATAGCCTGCCACTGTACTAGGACCATTGTGATGTGCTGAGTTTTGAGGCGCATGAGGGTATCAGCTGAAAGTGTCTAACTGCATTTATTATTGTTCTGCTGAAATAAGGGATGAACTGAATTCAAGGCACTTGAGGGTGTCAACTTGTCAATACTGAAGAGAGTGTGTGTGTATGTGCCTGCGTGTGTTTTGACTGATTTAGTGGTTGGAGGAACCCAGCCCCACTGAGCCCCAGTCCTGCTCCATTGGAAGGGACAGATACAGCTCCATAAAGAAACAAAAGTAACACAAGCAACACATTGATAGAATCACAGAGACCCCAGAAATGTACCCCTACTAAATGAGCACACCCCAAAGTGACGGGCAAATCTGGTAACAAAGATTATCTACAAAACGCATTCATTCCCACCCAGACTATACTGAAGTTTGTTTCACCGGGCTTACAAGGGTCAGGAGTTTTGAGGCAGCCAAATACTCTCAGAATTTTCATATCAGTCTCATTGACAAATTTCCATTCCTCATTAAGATCAGATATCTAACAGTTAGTCCAAATGTCAGTACCTCCTTAAGGGCAAGATGGAAATTTCCCATTCTTAGGCTGGCTTTGTATGACCTTTGCTTAACACCCCCCAACCTCCCAAACTTAATGTTGGTCAGCTTCAACCATACGAGCCTTGCTCCTCTTCAGTATACCAGTGGTGGCAAAAAACTCCTAACAACCTTGGTACCTTACAGAAAATCCAGCCAAGTCCAATGCAAGGAAAAATTTGCATTTT